GTTCAGCTTTTGATAGCTTTGTTCTTGTTAGGTGCAAGACCTCCAGGGGGCGAATAATGATCGCCCTTGTTCAATACCTATAGATTCTATCCTCTTTCAGCAGTCGAGACATGATTGGAGGATTGCGTTTGGTTGGTTCCCTGTTCGGATGAACATGGATCACGTATACTCCAATAACATTAACTACTTGAAGTTGGTTTCTAGGAACTATATAGGTTAGAGAAGATAGGATTGTTTAACATTAGCGGTCAGGTGACCATGGTTGGAGACGGATGCACAGCACGGCGTTTGAACCTGTGGGTCGAAGCACTCCACGATCAGCCGCAAAGAGTCTTCGGAGCTTCTGACGCCATTTTTGGCCTACTGGGTCTAATACGAGGTATCTCGCTTACTGGGGTACCATCTTGGCATCCCTTCGGTTAGTCATCTTTGTGCGAGAAAGCCCCCAGAACAGCACTGCCAAGAGCCAGACAAGGTTTCGAGAGTATGTGGCAACCCCGGTCCTAAACAAACAGAGCTATCCATTTTCTATTCTTCCAGGGGCTAGGCTTTCTGGATCCGGCGGTCAGCTTAAACTGCTGACGTGATTTGCAGTTTCTACCCACCGACCCGATTAACAGCAGGAGGATTTGGCTCGTCTAAAATGTCGAACTACTGTTTTGGGCTAGCTAATGGATCCAATCAATGGGCCGGATCTGCGTCGCCCCGAGCAAGTCAGAACGCCTAGCCCGCCCATACCCTTATTCATCACGAGTTCGCCTGGCATACTCAAGTTCTTTATCGCCACCCTTTGCAAGAGTGATCTCGCCAATGACTCTGCTAGCAGAAATACCTCGCCTCCCCCCTTCGAGCTTAACTATCATGACGGTTCCAGCGATATCAGAACGACCTCAATCTGTTTCACTCCCTATAGCTAGCTTGGCCCAGCAAACCTTGACTCCATTACGCAGCCATGCACCGGACTTCGGGCCCGATTCTCCTGCTATGATTGAAGCAATGATCGCAAAAGAAAACAGAAAGCACCAGGTGCGCTCTCGATATAGGACAAGTCTGACAGGATGCTCCTCATGCAAGCGACGGCGATCGCCGTGTGGAGAAGAGCAGCCGTCATGGTGAGCACCCTTACGGGCACACAGCCTATCTTCCTTCTGCAATACCCGTGCCACGTCTCCCAAGAGTACGGTACTCGGTACTAAACTCAGCCCTACAGCCTAGCTTGTCTCATTTTGGGCATCCCATGCACCTATATTCCCGCCACCACTAGAATTGCAGGCCGGAGCGCCACGATAACCCCAACGATAACCCCTCAGCGCCAGCTATACAAAATCATGTCCGATTCGCCTGCAGACCCGTTTTGCATTTTCCCGGTCAAGATGAAATACCAATCCTGGGACGTCTTTCATGACTGTAGGCTCTACCCAATTTTGTTCGTTGTTCTAAGACTGACCAGTGTGCTAGTTATCAATGAGCGAACATCACTTGCCCATATTGCACAGAGAGACGCAACCGCCGTTCGCCTCGAGTAGGTAGCTCGCATACGGAGAAGCTTTGTGGACTTCAATAGCATGCTGACGTCGACGTAGCCTCGGCCCAGCGCAAGAGAATATGCTATGCCTCCATGCGGTACTATGCATGAGATCCGCCTATCGGTCATTCCGAGACTGTCTAGAGTCTCAACAGACCTATCTCTATCACAGAAATGCTCTTCTTCAATGGCTCAAAGAGAATATCAGCAACCGCAAAATGGCCATCAAGGCACAATACCTCTGTATTGTCGCTTCTGTCATCATGGCTGATGTAAGGCCAGGAGTCTTTTACAGTGGATATTGCTTATACCCGGTTTCCTAGAGCACCTCCGGCGATGAGCTTAGTGTACGAGCCAATCTTAAAGGGGCCATCGCTTTGTTAGATTTGAGAAAACAGACAGAGAAAGAATGGCGTTTCTTCGATGCTCTTCTGAAGCAATTCTTGATTATGTTTGTTGCCCTTCCCTAAGCGATGGAAACTAACTGCGCTAATCACTACACCAACCCTGCAGAGGTCTGGGTCTTGTCTTCCTCCAGCGGAATGAATCAGACAATTGGCCAAGCAGCGATCCCTGGAGCCCACGCATTGCTTCTATGTTTGTGGTGATGGGGAACGACTTTTTAGGTGGCCAGTTCCTTACAGGAAGCGCGCGTACGGAATGCCGGACGGACGGTCCGGTATTGGATTGGTTAGAGAGGACTTTACGGCAAGCAGCCGGCAAATCACCAGGCCCCCAACCTTCTCCTGCCGGCGCCGAATCTTCAGAACTGCGACCCAGAGGGGAGCAAGCCTTCCGGAAGGCAGCCATCGCATATGCATTAACCGTGGGTACTCTTGATTGGACTGGAACCAGCATAGCCGGAGAATCGCAAGTTCCTGCCGCCTCTTCGGAGCTACACAAACTTAGGGCGTGGTGGTCTGATCTGTTAACCGCCTGGGCGGCGTCTAGTAAGCCCATGACGCAGCAAATTGCACAGAATATCCGGTGGAAGATGGAATGGATGGAAAGCGACGAAGGCCTAAGAGTAGCGCACGAAATAGCAAGAGCATCTCGGTGTGGGGTGCGTTGGGAGAAGAAACATTGGGCATAGGCAGCAGCGAGCCGGCGTGAGACCACCATAGCTGCTGCTCCTTGGAATGTGCAACAGCTAGTGTTGTACTCTTCTTTCTCTCATCCATATTTATCCTCGTCCAGATTGATCTCATCCGGGCCACTAGCACTCGTCCAGCTTGTGGACTCTATGGCGACAAACGTCGACTCTCTATCCATCGACTCTACCCGAAGCCGCTAGACGCGACGGGGCGAGACCATAAGAGCTGTAACGGAAGGGGGAATGCAGAGAGAGAATGTAGATAGCCATGAGGCCGTACCAATCAAGACAGTCGCGGAGACAATGACGTGGTACGCATCGGATAGGAAGCCGTCGAAATCATGACTGAACCTGAGTCTTGAACCATCAAACTGACTGCACCGGACTGAGACTATTAGAAAGGCGGAAACGATACATAAAGGAATGGTGAAGGCAACAGGTGTGTCAATAGATACTTGCATTGCTGCTCAGTGTGCCCGTCGGTTATTAGGGCTTGCTAACGATCGCTATATCGTTAGCTAGGGTGTTGACGTCTTGCTTTGGGCCGACGCTCTTTTACACGGGCCAATGCGTGAGTAAGAGGCAACAACTCCTCCACGAACTTATCAACTCATCCCTTCCCAGTCGTTGATGTATCTGCTATAATGGGGGCTGAAAACCTTCACGGAAGTCAATGAAGCGTGTGCTGGAGGGCAGGGTGTGCCGCATTTATAGTCCTCGCTCTCGCTCTCGCTCTCGCCGGTCTGACCGAACGTTAGCAGGCTAGCGGGCGCCAAGCACACGCTGTGGAGTTGACGACACGCTCCTACTCGACCAAGTCGAACTGCAAAACTCTAAAAGGACCAAAATCCTTTGTTTTCCAGCCTCCGAGCCTTGTTATCAGCAGAAACATTGTACCAGCGCTTGTTTTAGCCCATGATGGTAAGCGTGATAGTCAAGAGTTTCGTCTTTTCGGCCAACACATAACCTCCGCACCGTAATACGGTAATACGGGAATGCCAAGAGTAGGGGATGGCGCGTCTATGCATGCTAGCGCACTTCCAGGCCCGGCCTCGATAACATGCTAGCATAAGAGAGGCGCAAAATGCTGCGCAGAGCGAGAGCGAGGACCCACGGGGAGGCTGAGCGTGTCTCGAGCCGTGGATTTTGGGAAAATACTAAGGAGTTCACCGGGAGACAACTTCGCGCAAACATTAGTGCATGCTCAATATAGCAACAGAATACAAGTTATAAAGATGATGGCCGCCGTCGATTATTTTCTTGTTGGTAGTATGCCAACACCTCATTGTCGACGTTTCAGAGCACCCGAAGCGATACATCTTACCCCTCCGACCATATAAAGTTTCTTTGCAGACGCTTCCGACAAGATGGGATGTTTTGATACGAAGTTCAGCACCCCGGTCCATATCCTACAGCTGGTACTGGCAATCGTTGTGCTCGGCATAGCCGGAGCGCGGCTTGTGATCAATGGCGGGCCGCGAAGCAGAGCCGATACCATGGCTCTTGGAATGGTATGACCCGGAGAGGCTTCTGGTGGCAGCGATGACGAAGTCTAACCTAAAGATAAGGGAGCAAAATCGGTGGTAATCATCCTTTACCAGCTCCTGACCGAGCACGTCCGCGCGCTCCACCGATGGTTTAGCTACATGGCCTGCGCCATCCTCAACGCCATGGAGATTGTATTCTGGGCGGCGGTGGCCTATCTGGTCATCTCGGCAAACGCGGGACCTCTGGGTTGCTCTGGTCTGACCTGCACGCTCAGCTGGGTCATCGTCGTCCTGGCGATTGTTATTGCGTGAGTACACGTCTTCCAATCCATCCTTTCCCGACAATGCTAACAATCGACGTAGCATTGTCGCAGCCTATGCTGCCATTATCTCCTATCTCGATGTCCGCCACTACCGGCAGACTGGGCTCCCGCGTGGTGCGCCAGAGGCCAACGACCAGACCAAATACCGAGAAGCCTACAACCAAGAGCTGGTGTGAGTTTAGAGACAAGTATACGCATACGATTCCAAGAGATGGAGAGATGCGAGAGTGGTTATAGAATAGGGCATTCCTTGGGAGGTTGGGCTACGGACGGTATAGAGGTAGAATGGGTCTTGCACGAGGCCGTCATGGTCATATACACGGCGAGAGATGGGTTTACTCTCGTATATCTAGGCCAGAGTCCTGATAAACAGAAGATATGAAAGCCACTATCCAACATTGCATAACTTTGGGATGCTGGCCCCGCGATCATGATAGAAGCCGAACGGGCCCACCAACCTGGCCCTTGGCTCCCGGCCCCCCGGTCCCTGGTTCCCAACCGTGGGCTTTATAGTGCCCAATTTTCGCCAACCCGCCCCGCAATGACTCGGATCTCACATCCAAGTCACGGACGGTCTGGTGGTCTAGCGGTATGATTCTCGCTTAGGGTCCACCCTACAGTTCAAGTTGCGAGAGGTCCCGGGTTCAATCCCCGGCCAGACCCTTCCTTTTTGGACGGGATTGGCGGTGTTAGGAGCGTGTTAGGCGTGGTGATAAGTTTTGGCGGTTCGGGTGTGTTGGGCCTTGTGGGGTTGGGGTTGAATTTTTTTTTCATTGTGCTGAGCAAAGCCCTCGACTGGGGGCTGCGAAGAGTGGGTCAGGCTCGACTTGGCTCTCCGCAAGATAGTAGCTCGTGCAGTCTATAGAAGGTAGGATCATTGTGTTCCTAGACCAGGGCCTGGTTCTCTCTTCTCTATTGGTCGATGGCCCAAAACCTCTGCACGCCCTAGGTGCTCTCTTCATCGCTGTCGTCGTCTACCAGGTCGATGTCAGCGCCTTCAGCCCCCAGCATGCTCAGTCCCCAGCTGGCCGACGTCATTTGTAAAAAGTCGAGTATGACGGTGGCAAAGCGCTGCCAAGTCGTGACCGTCTTCTTAAGCATATCGAGACAAACCCGGTACCGCATAACCGCGGCCCTTCGCAGGCGCTCGTCCTCGGCCGTCATGTTCATCAGGTGTACTATGGCCGCCCTCATGACATGGTACATAGCGAACGGTGGTAAGTTGTGGATCGCACCTAGGTCTTGGATTGTCCGGAGGACTCTGGTTGTGCGATTTGCTGCCGCCGTGACCGCGCGCATGGCGGTGGCGTGCTGGGCGGATGCGCCCGTGGGGTCGAGAAAGCGCCGGTGGAGAAGCATCTCACTGGTATTGTACGAGATCCAGAATACCAGCTGGGTCTTGTCGGGCTGGGATGTGCGAGACAAGAGCAGCCGAGAGTCGATGCCCTTGCGTAGCGCGGCGAGAGCAGTGTATCCTTTTAAAAATAGAGCATATTTATCGGATTGGGGCAGGGAGGTGAAGTTGGCAAAATATATGGGGTCGAGATATTCTCGCTGCCATAGTGTGAGCCGGATATGGTACTCAAACGCTAGAGCTGGTAGGTCTATATCCTCCTTCGGCATCGTTGTCAGGTAAGAGGGCGTGCTGCCGAGGTCCCAGGGAAGGCGGGATGGGGCGCCAACGGTGGCAGTCGAGTATCCGTCTAGGACTACGAGGGACCAGAACGTACGGAGACTCGCGCGTTTCTCCAATCCAACGACTACATCGCCGGTTATGGCCCCGGACGTATGTTGCTGCCAGTCGCCCTCATTTACTCTCATGTGTGTCGACATGCCTATAGCCATGTCTTATGGGAAGTATTAGCGCTGTGGCAGCCCATAAAATCAGTGCGGCATTTCGGGGCAGTGGGCACCCACATTGGTACATGTACGCCGCCGCGGTCTCAAATGTGCTATGCTTGACCCAGCTTAGTATCAATAGAGATTGAATAACTGGTAGGCACAAATGCTCTCGACAGCACTCCAAGACAATGCTCTCTGCATATTCGAGGAGGCTATCACGGAGGTCGTGGGGAGTGACTATTGAATAGTACGCGGCAGCGCCGAACACGGCACTGTACAGTAGCTGAAGCACGAGATCGTTGTTTGGGAAGACGTCCGAGAAGGCCAGCCATGCGGGGTCAACAAACTGGAAGAATGGGTTGATGGTCTCTATAAAGATCCTCTTGAGGTGTTGCTTGCTTTTCAGAGTCAAGTTGCGAGTGGTGTCGACTAGCGAGGAATAAGAGCGAGCCTTGGGCTTCGCGTGGACAGCGTTTTCAGGCTCGAAAGCCGGCACCGGGTTGCGGAAGGGAATTGTGAAATACCCGGTCGGACCGGAGAAGAGAAGGGGGTCAAGAGAAGGGCCCGGAACCGGCCAATTGAGCGAGGTAAAGTCGGTCAGAGCCTTTTCTGACCGCCGGGGTTCGGGTAGTGATCTCGGCGGCGCCGATGCCGGATCGGGCCGGTTGGACGGCCCCGAGGTGGAGCCAATCCCGGAGGTGGGGTGGATACTTTGCCCCGAGAGTAACTGAATCTGATCCTCGAGAGACTTGACATAGTCGGTGTCCCAGTATTTCCGCCTGAGCAGGTCGAAGGGGAATCCTGTCAGCTACCGAAGAGAAACGGCGGTGGAATCGAACCTACCTCCTACTTGCTCGGAGCGCAGGATATTCGCAATTCCTTTGGTGTGTCTCGCATAACCGGCACGTCGGCTTTCGGCCGTCGCACTGGATTAGTAGAAGCACTCGCGGTTAGCAGTAATATGTCAAACGATATGTTCCCGGCGAGAGAACAAGGGGATTACGGGCGCAGGCAGGGCGCGGACATACTCTGCGCTTCCTCTGCCGGCATGGCTCGCACGCAATGCCTATTCGACTCATAATTCTGAAATGACCGCCTTCGGTTTAGGCTTGGCGGATGTCACGCAGCCGCAGTCTGCGTGATCAAGTGGCCATGCCCTGACGACTGGTCTCAGGATCGAACTTGAGCTATGGTGCTTCAGTGGACCCAATCTTATCTGGGCAGAAAAATGTGGGGAAGGTGACGCATCTTTCGGCGTTAGCGGCGGATGTAATACATCCGCTAATGCTTTACTACAACTATCCGACCACCCGCCTCCGCCATCGCCATGCGGGAGCGTTTTGTTATGTACCTTAGTTAGCCCGGGATTTGGCCACACACGGATCGTATTGGCGCAGTTGATACAAAGATCCCATGGATGTCTATCCATGCCCGGTACAGACCCTAGGTGACAAAAGGCCGGTGAACGATTTGTTCCACTCGGCGCGGGCCGATTTGAATCCTCCGATAGCCAATGCTTTCGCGCGAGCTCCAGCATCGACCAACCCTCTTTGGGCAATTAATCCTCTTTTTTAGTGCACAAGGCGTAGTGCCAACAATGTAAAACTTGAACGCGACGGTGGCGGGGGTTATAGCGTGACGCTCACTAGAGCTTAGGAGAATGAGGCCACCAGACATTGGAGGCTCGGATAGGCAACTCGGATCTGCAATCATTGTGGGGTTTCAAGGCATGGGCTACTACGGAGTAAGGCGAAGTCGGTCTCCGAGGCCCTTGACGAACTTACAAGGCTCAGATAGTGGGTAATCCCGGGGGCGAATGTATTGTATAAATTGAGGACTCGTTGGCTTCCGCTGCCGACTCTCTCTCATGCTTCAGGCCTGCCTTGACGTTTCTCTCCCTTCAGTTCCTTTATAAATTGAATATCCACCAGTTCCTACCATCCTGGAATTATCATGAGTTCGACCGAGAAGACAGAGGTCCTGATCTGTGGTGCCGGTCCCGTCGGGCTTCTTATTGCCCTGGGGTTGGCCCAGCAAGGGATCGATACCCGCGTATTCGGTATAGACACAAATCCTTCTAGCCAAAGCACGGCCACTATTCCATACCAGTAAATACTAAAATTTAAACCATCTAGAGAAGAGAGAGCGCAAGGTGCAAGCCTCGTTTGGTCGTGCGTCGATCCTGTATCCGCGGTCCATTGAGCTCCTAGAACAGCTTGATGTCGTTGAGCCAATGACCCAGGAGGGGTTTATCTCGAGCGCAGTCTTCAACTGGAGGGACGGCTCTCGCGTTACCGGTCGTGGATTCGCCATGGCCGACGGCATGGTCAACACCTTTCACGACTACCTGCTTGGCATTCGACAGACCAACTCGGAAGACATCTTCCACGCTAAATACATCGCAGATTTTGGAAAGAGCGCCGAATACGGCTGGGCTTTGGTTGATTATACTCTTGACTCATCGCTCAATGATGGCTGCAATGTGACAGCGACAGTTGAGAACAGCTCATCAGGTGAGAAGAAGACTGTGCGATCGTGAGTAGCAACCCTAGCGAGACTCTCTCCTATGCCTCCAACACATTCACTGACCGGTGCTAGCAAGTACATTGTCGGTGCGGATGGCGGCCAATCTACTGTCCGGCGCATTAGCGGCATTGAGCCCGAGGGCCTCGAGACCGAGTATCGGTGGATTCGCGTCGACCTAAACCTCAAGACTGACATGCCCGACGCGGACCTGGGCGTCGGCTCGCTCGAGACAAAGACACACGGGAACGTGCTCTGGCAGAAACTCAACCGGGACTTGTACCGCATTGGATTCGTTGTGACTCCTGCCCTCAAGGAGAAACTCGGAGACAATGTGACGCAGGAGCAGGCTGTCGCCGAAGCCATCGAGGCTGTGAAGCCCTTCAAGGTGGAGCCTGGTCACGTTGAGTGGTTCACCGTCTATACCATCAGGCAAAAGGTCGCAGCTACGCTGCATAAAGACGATTTTGTCTTGCTGGCCGGCGACGCGGCGCACACGCATTCGTCTGCATTCGCGCAGGGAATGAACACGGGCATCCATGATGCGACAAACCTCATTTGGAAGCTCGCTGGATCCATCAAGGGCTGGTACAAGCCGTGCGTGCTTGAGACGTACAACTCAGAGAGGCGAACCGCGGCGAAGCAGCTGATCGAGATCGACCAGAGCGCCGCGGCCGCCATCTCGGGCACCATTCCGTCCAAGTACGGCGGGGCAGACGCAGATGCCAACGAGGTCATGGGCCGTATCTGGGCTGATAATCTGCGCTTCAGCATGGGCATCTTGAACTACAGCCCATCTGTGCTCAACCAGGCGGTCCAGGGCGGTACTGTTCACCCCGGCACGCGCGCCCCGGAGGCGTTGGTGCGTCGGCCAGGTCCGCGACTGCCGGTACGGCTGCAAGAGGTCACGCGTGCAAGCGGTTTGGGACGGTGGACTGTGCTCGTGTTTGCAGGATATCCGGTCGTCACCAAGACCAAGATCACTGCACTGCGAGAGGCCTTTGAGGCAAAGGGCGGGTTGGCAGAGAATCGCGGCAAGCTTTTGAATCTGGTGACGCTCTCGGCGAGCCCAGCCGGGAATGCCTGGACGGCGTTCGGCGGCCCCGCGATCGGGCGGCTATTCTTTGACAGCGACGGTGAAGCACATGGCCGCTATGGGTTCGCTCTTGAGCAAGGCGGGATTGCAGTCATCCGTCCGGACGGCATCTTCGCATTTGGGGCTACCCTGGACGGAGTGGGCGACCTGGAAAATTATTTCAACTCCTTCTGCAGCTAAATATTACTGCGAGCATCCCGGT